ATTAATATTACTACCCTTTCCACTGCATTCTTTTTAAAGGCCTCTCAATTGTAGTAACCTTATTGATAATTTCACTCATAAGTGTTTTCTGCTGCCATAGCAGGATATGACAACACAACTATGAAATTCAAATTAAAGGATCAGTGTGACCTTCAGTTTCAGGATAAAGGGTAATAAAAATAAAGGAAACAAGTTGGATTGCTTTGGGATTTTGTTGTGGATTTCTTGGATTCTATGATCTATGATGATTCTATTTTTGTATTTGTTTTATATTAATTTATATTTGTCTATATTTCTGAGATGAGGTATTTTAACTATTTACATCGTTTGAACAGTTGTCTTCATGTTTATTGTCATATTCATGACATTTCACCAGATATACACTTCAACCACCTTCAGTTGATATATGTTAGAATTTTGAACCAAACCCTTTATTTAGTCCACGGGTGATATAGTTATGTGCCATATGTGATACACACTTAGGCGATCATGTATTTTTTTTGATACATGACTGATGAGGCAGATTTTTTCCTGCAGTAGGTTGCCATTTCTTTCTACAGTAGACCAGTTCCCATCCAAGGCTATAGAATCTGGTCTGTCCTGCAATTTATCCATAGCTGGGGAGAGAAGTGAATTTCATGCAAGTGAATGTAATGAATGGATTCAATTGGAATTCAAACTTGGCTCTCCGATTTCTCAATCCGAGCCGCTATCCATTACTCCACCGTATTGTTCTAATTCCACATGCCATGCCTTTTTTTTTTTTTTTTGGATATCTCAGTTTCAGTTAATTTCCTTCCCAAGTTTTTGTTCTCTCTGTTGTAGCCAGGTATTGAACTCAAAACTCTTTAGGTCAAGTCATCTTCAACTAATACTTTTATGCAATAAAGCATGGTACATGGAATTAGAACAACCTACCCTCATGGACTAAATAAAGTGTTCAGTTTGGAATGGCTGAAACATCATAAATATGGCAATAAAGATGAGAACAAAAATTTTGGACAATGTAAATAGTTTATATTTATTTTATACTGGTTTATATGTATCTTATATTTATATATGTTTCTTTTACATTTCACTATATTTGTTTATATATATATATATATATATATATACACACACACACACTATTGTATTTCTGTCTGAATTTCTGGGATGAGGAGTTATCATTATTTACACTATTTACATTTGGACTATTGTCCTCATCTTTGTTGTTATTATCACAATGTTTTGGCCTTCATCAGGTGTCTACAGGGAATACTTAAATGATCTCTTTATTTAATCTACGTGGGTAGACTTGTTCTTGTTGCAGTTTGGAATTCCTAGTAGGTTACTGGGATTGAAATAGCAGCTATGGAAGGCCAGAGGCAACAATGGTCGAAACGTTATGACAATAACAACAAAAATTATGAAAATAGTTCCCATGTAAATAGTATATATACTTTTGTATTCATTTTAGATTTGTCAATGTATAAAAGAATACCCGCTCGGCCCGGTGGCTAGGATCAAAGTGTAGTATCTGCGCTTTGTGAGTTGCCGGGTCGGGTGTCCTCTCGAACTCTCTGCTTGCAGAGAGAACCCGGACGAAGCTCCGCCGATGGGTAGGGTTTCGTTGGGGAGGTTGATTGAACTGATCCATCGGCGGGTTTGGATGGTTATTTATTTTAAGCTGGGCCTACGGGCTCAGAGATACCCACATTAAAAAGGCCTTGTGCCACATTCGATCCCCGTGGGTGGATTGATAAATACCATTTTAGATTTGTCAATATTGTCTCATATTTGTTTATATGATTTTTATATTTTTTATATTTATCGATATTGTTCCATATTTATATTTTTGTATTATATTTATCAATATTGTCTTATATTTGTTTATATGATTTTTGTATTTGTTTTATATTTATCAATATTGTTCTATATTTGTTTATAATGTTTTTGTATTTCTTTTATAATTGTCAATACTGCATATACTCAAGTATAGCATGAGTTTTTTTATGATTGATTTTTTATGCAAAAAATAGTGGGTATGCACTATATGCGGGTCTTTTTTTTTAAGAAATTAAAAATCATATATTTTCAGTGACTGGTTGCACTATACACAGGTAAATTTTTTCTGGAGGGTTTAAAATTCATGCAAAAAATTTCAGAGGAGGTCACACTATGCATGAAGTTGGTTTCTACATAATTATATATGGTATTTGTTTTATATTTGTCATTATTTGTTTTATATGTATTTTGGATTTGTCTATATTATGTATCATATTTGATAGCATATAAAACATCCCATCTGCTCAACATCCTAAATAATTCCTGGATCTTATATTCAAAGTTGTGGTAACTGAGAGGTCAAACACTTTTATATAATCTAACTCAATAGTACATTAATAGTAAATATGGTAGTCTTATAAAGAAAATAGCAGAATCTAGTTGACTAATGTTTACCCAGATACCATAAACTACCAGTACTTCCATATAACCTCACTTTATAATAGTGTTACATTAAATGCAAATGGAGGTGGAGGGTGGTCTAATATGCCATCAAATAAAGGGTGTTCCAATAACTTAGACTGATTTTAAACTTAATTCACATTTAAAATCAGTCTAAGTTATTGGAACATCCTTTACAATAAATATTTATATTCTTAATGAGAATTAATGAGCCATGCAATCTTATATATAAACAAAATTACACTGTGATGGTATAATAGCCAGGAGGCTGATCCCTAAAGGCTAAACTATTTAGTTGGAAATGTGTGAGTGTGGGAGTGAGTTGTGAAGTTTCAGTTTTAAAAATGTCTTGTCAAAGATACTATTTTTGTATGCATATTTTATAATCTTTTTTTTCAATTCCTCTTCATATGATTAGCCTAAAAGATTAAGAATTTACTTTATCAACATTTTTCACATTTGCTTAATTGTTTTATTTTATTTTTTACTGTACATCATATTGCAACAATGCATTTATTAGGATATTGTTTTTAAGATTTAACATCTTTTGTGGCATTAAACACACAAAATTGGCATTTCGAACATTATCAGAAAGTATGATCAGACATTTTAAAATTTAAGACTACTGACTGCAATTTTCACCTTGAGAAGATGACAGCACTAACCAACTGAAGCAAATGAAAAACAAGTAAATCAAATCAGACATTTTTCTCAGCAAGTATTGAAGACACTTGGGTGGAGGTTAAATTATATCAATGAAGTGTAAAAGTTTCTTCTAAAGTCACTCACATATTCATTCACTCACAATACATACAATTCAAAATTAAATGACTGTTCAAATGTATCTGGAAAGATTATTAATTTGAATTATGTAGTAGGAAAACAGTAACATAGGTTCACCAACTGGTTAAAAATTTGACCATCAGAAATAGAAAAATAGATAAAAAGTGATTCTGAGAGGTATACCTGTCACTGATCAATATTTGATTAGTAAACCAATAATATTTTTATAAAATTAATGCTCACTTGACTGTTAACAAAATATTAATTAACAAGATTTATTTTATTTTGGGGTCATTTTTTTATATCTTTTTTCAGTAGATAAAAAAATTACCTTTCAAGATGAGGTCAAAGACAGATGGACCATTTCTTACATAGTGTGGCAGAAGTAACAGTGGAGGCAATAATATTATGCAATAGCTGATTTTCAGATTTCATTGGCATATTAAATAAAATGCATAGTTTATGATTACAACATGAAGATCGTACAGCAATGTGCTCAAAACAATTGTTGATTCTGGCACACAAATCTTTGGGGACTAATGTTGGAATGTGTGCCACTTTGTCAAAGCCCAATCATTAAGTGTATTAAGTGCATTGAATCAAATGGTTAGCAGAAAATAGTAAATATTTAGAACGATTGAATCAAATGATCAACATTTTGACCCACTGCAGAAAATGGTCAGAATTTTGAAACAGTGAATCAAATGGTCATTATTTTGAGTCACTGAATCAATTGTTTAGCATTTTGAGCCATTGAATGAAATTTTTTTTTTTTTTTTTGGGGGGCATTGAATCAAATGGTCAGCATTTTGAGCCATTGAATCAAATTTGAGGGCTATTGAATCAAATGGTCAGCATTTTGAGCCAGTGAATAAATTTGAGGGCTATTGAATCAAATGGTCAGCATTTTGAGCCAGTGAATAAAATTTGAGGGCTATTGAATCAAATGGTCAGCATTTTGAGCCATTGAATCAAATTTGAGGGCTATTGAATCAAATGGTCAGCATTTTGAACCAATGATGTAATTGAATTTTGTTTTTTATTTTTTACCTTTTTATATGTGGGTTGATGATTACATGTACAATGGCTAAATAGGATTTTGTTATCACTGATATCTCACTATTGTTTTTTTGTTTTTTTTACAATAACTGTTTACTTTCTTTCATATTGTTATTAACCTCCCCTATTAATTCTGTCACATACTGTATCTTACACAAGGTGGGTGCTGAAAAGTTCTCAACCTACCTGACAAAATAACCAAACATCAAATATTTAAAATCCCAAGAACTTATCAGCACCCCTTGTTCTGGAAGTAATCAAGTGGATTGAAACAACAGTTCTTAAAAAAAAAGTAAGAAGGCCAAGTGTAACATTCATGAAGAAGCAAGAAGAAAAAAAAAAGAATGAATAGAAATTATTTTGATATTTTTCTTCTTTCCTTCAAAGAAGAAAATATTGCTCAGATGAAGCTCTCGAGTCCTTCTTCTTCTTCTTCTTCTTCTTCATGCTCCATTTGTACTTTTTGCTTTTGAAAGTCTTGACCTACCACAGCAATGCCATATTCTTGATGTTGATTGCTCTTACCTCGAGCGTTTCTTAATTGCATCTCAGTGTGGTGGTTATTTTCAAAGTCCGAATGAAAATACTGTGCTGCATATCGATGTTTTTGTCTCCCGTTGTCATGATCTTCATAAAATCCTACATTCACGTACTCATTGCTGACCTCATATGGATAATCCTCAGATTCCAGATATTGCGGCGGTTTTATCACTTTCCTGGAGTTTGATGTCATGGATCTGTCTTGGAATTCGGAGCTTAAATTATGAGAAATGGGTTTGGTAGGATGGTTTCTGCTGTCAGAATAGCCATATTGTCGAGAGGGTTGCTGTGGTTTTGAAACTGGTAAAAGAACAGCACTTTCATAAGAGGGAGGAATTGCATGTGGTACAGAATCATTTGTCTTCAATTGGCTGGGGCCATCACTGATTTCTGCATAGGCATTCACCAGATCCTGGGATGTATCAAAGTCACCAAATTTCCAACCCTTTAAAACACTGACCAACTCTCCTATAATTAAAAAAAATAAACACAATGTTTTATATTAACATTTTAAGATTAATTCAAGACAATAACTTCCTGGTTTTTACTACATTTTTTTGTAAAATCATTAAAAATGAATCAACATTTTATATAAAACTATCAGCCATGGCCAGCTTGTCGATCAGAAAAAGCGTTCAATTAGAATGGAGCAAAAACAGCATCATGTTTAGATATAACATAGACTATCTCTTTCAATTACTTTAAAGTACTTTCATTAAAAAACATTTTGAATTAATGCAGTTACTGATACAACAGTCATCTGTATTTATTCAATCGAAGTTAGCCGAGGGCCTGAAGGAGTAAAACAGGCAACATGACAGCCCACTTCAGGCCATAATTATTTTGGAAGTTTTGAAATTCAATTTGTCAGTGTACTGCCAGGGATGTAAAAAAGAGGATGAATTTATGAAGCAGTTGTTAAGTTTGATGAAAAGTTTATTGAAAGATTTACGAAAAATATGAAAGAAACCAGTAAAAATCACCATTTTTGCTATTTATACAAGTTTTCACTATCTGGGTAGACTCAATTATCAAGTTAAATGATGGTTAAACAATCAACTTATTGTTGGCTACAATTGAGTGTAGTTTGCATTAGATTGCTTGAAAATTGAGGGAGTTTCTAGTTTAAAATTTGTGTTGAAATTGATATTTTGTTTTTTGCTAAATTCAGTGGTGTAGAAATAAAAATGAAGTATTGTTGAGCTCATTATGATGTAAGTAACCTACATACTGAATTTGAATGAAATTGGAGGAAAAAAGGTAAATTTATCGCTTTTTTATCAGCTTTATAGATTATTGATTTTTAAAAGATTATCGATTTTTTATGCTAAGAACCTATCTCTTACATTGTACAAGGTATGTATCAAGTTTGGTCAAAATTGGTTGGATGGATCTCAAGTGAAAAGGTATTGCACAGACAGACATCTATCAGTAATGCTTGCATTGATTCCTAGCCACTGACAATCCCTTTTTCCCGATTTTAAATGCATTTTAACATAAAATCTATAGCAGACATTACACCATTCAGCAGTAGGGATCATTTTTAAGCTTTTAGGTATGCATAAAAACTGGGAGTGTGTATCATGTGAATCTCAAAAGGTTAGCTCACTTTCACATCATGCCAAGGTTGAGGTAGGAATACTAAACTAGATACCTGGAACAGATACACATAACTTAGACAAGACCCTTCACTCACTCGTTAAATCACCAACAGAGTAAGTTCAAACATTTCTTTTTTTTTTTTTTTTTTTTTAAAGACTCTCATGGGAACATCCCATGTATTTACACTTTCTTTAAAATACAATCCTCAAACATTCTTCCAAATAAAAGTTCTTGATAGAATAAAAATTTCATTTTGTTCCATTCTCTTTTTTGTCTATTTTCTCAAACAGTTCAACACTTGTATTTTATGCTTGTCAACACACGATACACAAACTTAACTTCAAATAGCAACCACAAATATAACACAATAAATCCTTAACAATACATAATATATATAATAGCTCTATTCTATATGTCATGCTTACATTCATTCTTGACTGCTGACAATTCCTTACTTCTTTATTCTCAATGCATTTTTATAGTAAAATCATTAGCAATGCATTTCCAGGATGCATATAATAGCTCTATTCTATATGCCAAGCTTACATTCATTTTTGACCACTGACAATTCCTTTCTTCCTGATTGTTAGTGCATTTTTATAGTAAAATTATTATCAATGCATTTACATTATTACATATAATAACCCTCTTCTATCATTCCTAACCACTGATAATAATTGTTTTATATTTGTTTATTTCAGATATTTATGTCAACATGAGAGTTATGAAATACAAAGATTCGAATCATACCAAAAATTAATTATCTAGGAAATGGTTAAACAGAGGACTGAAAATTTGACATTGAAATCCAAAAATGGATTGGAATAGCGAAAACTGCTTTCAGAAAGCTAAGTATTAAGAAATAGTAAATTTTTACTAGAAACAAAGAAAACAGTGCTGAACTGCTATGTTATATCGGTCATCTTATATGAAAGTGAATGGAGCAACAGAAATGTGATTTCTACAGAAGGATACTAAGCAAGCCATAGATGGAATATATTGACAACAAGAAAGTTTTAAGGAAAATGGAAGTGAAAAAGGACACTTGTATTTAGGATCAGAAAGAGATGGCTGACATTTCTGGGTCATCATGAGCAAAGAGGTTCTTGGAGGATCTGACATTTACAAAAGATGCTGAAGGCACAGAGAAACAGCAAGTCACCTACCTCAGAAGCTTTTTTTTTTTTTTTTTTTTTTTCCATGGCAGAACAAGAATAGGGGTAGTAAAGAAACAAACAATACTTGAAGCTACAAAGGATAGGAAATTAACGAGAATCATGCCACAAAGAATTTGCTTATGACTAATAGTCAAAATATTGACTTGTAAGCTCAGATCCCTTGAATCCACCATTCATCTTTTGATAGATCTGATATTGATATAAAGCAAAACTTCAAAATGCTAAAAGCGTTTAAAACCAAAAGGATAACCAAAATGTAACGAAACACTAATGGCTGCCATTTGCATAATATAAAATGCTTATTTGTACAGCTGTGTTTCCTTATTTGCTGCACTTTGTTATTTTAATAAAATCTCCCAAGATGCATTAGTTTATGTTTTGGATGCTGGAATTGGTTTTATAGAAATCAATAAAAACTTTGTTTTTTTCTCAAACAGAGCCAAACTCAAGTGCAGATATATATGCTTGATATTCGTCCTCCAGAAAGTAAGTGCAATGGATGCCAGATAGAATGATAATGAAGAGTAAGGGGGACAATAAAAGTGAACAGGAAGGTGGACAAGAAAAGAAAGAAAGGAAGGAAGGGGGATAAGAAAAGTGAGAGGAAGGGGACAAGAAAAGGAAGAAGGAAGGGGACAAGAAAAGTGAAGAGGAAGGGGGACAAGAAAAGTGAAGAGGAAGGTGGACAAGAAAAGTGAAGGGTAAGGTGGACAAGAAAAGAGAACAGAAAGGTGGGCAAGAAAAGTGAACAGAAAGGTGGGCAAGAAAAGTGAACAGGAAGGGGGACAATAAAAGTGAACAGGAAGGTGGACAAGAAAAGTGAGCAGGAAGGGGGATAAGAAAAGTGAAGAGGAAGGGGGACAAGAAAAGTGAAGAGGAAGGGGGACAAGAAAAGTGAAGAGGAAGGGGGACAAGAAAAGTGAAGAGGAAGGGGACAAGAAAAGTGAAGAGGAAGGGGACAAGAAAAGTGAAGGGTAAGGGGGACAAGAAAAGTGAACAGAAAGGTGGGCAAGAAAAGTGAACAGAAAGGTGGGCAAGAAAAGTGAACAGGAAGGTGGACAAGAAAAGTGAAGAGTAAGGGGGACAATAAAAGTGAACAGGAAGGTGGACAAGAAAAGTGAACAGGAAGGGGGATAAGAAAAGTGAACAGGAAGGGGGATAAGAAAAGTGAACAGGAAGGTGGACAAGAAAAGTGAAGAAGAAGGGGGACAAGAAAAGTGAAGAGGAAGGTGGACAAGAAAAGTGAAGAGGAAGGTGGACAAGAAAAGTGAAGAGGAAGGTGGACAAGAAAAGTGAACAGTAAGGTGGACAAGAAAAGTGAACAGTAAGGTTGAACTAAAAAAAGAGTAAATAAATGTAGACTGGTTTGTAACATCAGAATAATGCTTCCTGACTATACACAGTATGAACACTTTCCCTAATATGCTGACGATACCCTCGGATCTTTCTGTGTTCACATCCCAGGGTAATTGCGTCAAATATCAAAGACGGCATTTAAAAATATTTAATTCATAAGAAATGACACTAAACATTGTTTTGCTTGTTTTTTTTGAGAAGAAAATGAAGTATTGTTTTAAAATGTTTTAATTAGTGAAGTGTTAAGATGTGAGATGTTATTTTAATTGGTGAAGATTTGTTTTAAGGGATATATTGATTAAAACAGGAAGCATTCTTATGAAATCATTTGAAGTTAGTGTCTTCATGCCAACTGTATCACTATGTCTTATGGTAAATAAATTTGTTTGAAGAACTATTGAACATGAATCCAAACTCAAATTTCTTTTCCAATGCAAAATATAAAAGATCAAATGGATATATTGAATTCAAAATGATTGATATGAAGCAAAACAGAAAAGATTAAAGTTTTAAGGCAAAATAGTGCAATGGCTTGCCAGTTCCTTTTGCACAAGGGATGTTGGGTCTACCCCATTCCTTCATTTAGAAGTTCCTTCACCCACAGGTAATGTTGACCTCTGAGGTGTAGCTCCTACACCTATTCTGACCACTGGCTGATGGTCATTTGGTGCAGGTGATTATAAAAAAAGTAGACTTCAGAAAAGATTTACAAGTGATAGCACACTGACATTAGGAGAGCTTAAAAGAGATCACTGGAGGTTCTAAGTAGCTTCTTCAAAACAAAAATATTGATGCTTTAAACTGAGTGAAATTTAGCAGTTTCATGGATAATTATGAATTACATTTGGCAATGAAAAAAGCCTAAGAGTTTGGTATTCAAAGTGCTTAAGAAATATAGCCTTGTGTCAGACTTAGTAGTTCTTACCCTGATCAAGTGGTAAACTGCGTCGTTGTCGGGCCTGGGCACATCTTAGGGTATCCACTTTCATGTCAAGGCTGTCAATATCCTCAAAAGCAAAAGTCATATCTTTAATCTGTAAAAAAAAAGAAAAGAGGTTTATTAATAGATTTTCAGGTGTAACTTGCTTCTATATAGTGTGCGATGGGTAAATTGTTGACATTTTATATTTTTAATTTCACGCATGTGCATTGTTTGTTTTTGATTTTGTTGACTGCATAGAAATTTGGAAATGGAATGCTGTACTTCTTGGCATTTGTGCCAGAAGCTCCAATACAAATATTTCAGAGTGTTTGGGTGTCAATCTGAGGACAGTGCAGAGGATTCAGAAAGAGTCGGTTGAGTCTAATGGTGATTATGAAGGTACGGCAGCTTGGAATACTCACTATGATCATTCTGATGAGAAAGGAAAACCTGAGTTTGTTGGTGAGGACCTCGGACTCAACACAGAGGGCTACATCAAGTATCTTGAGGAAGTATTGCTACCCTGGGTCAAGAGGGTGGTTGCTGGAAGACCCTATGTCTGGCAACAGGACTCTGTACCATGCCACACAAGCAGGAGAACCCATTTATGACTGTCAGACAATTTCTGCAACCACATCATCCTTTACATCTAACCACTTAACTTCCCAGACTGCAACCCCCTTATGTGTGGGGCATAGTTGAGCAAGAGACCAACAAAACTCTTTTTAACATCAATGAGAAACTGAAGGCAAGGATTATGGCAGCATTCAGCAACTTAAACAAGGAAGAGTTGCAGGAGATTCCAAAATCGCCTGGAGGCCATGGTTGAAGCCAATCTTGATTTTATTGAATAAATTTACTCTTTAGCATTTCAAGATATTTTTGTGTAATTTTGGTAAATATATCTGTTAAAATAAGATGCCAATATTATTTTCATTTTTGCATAATTTAGATGACAATTTAACCATTGCACACAGTATAATGGTCAAATGAATGAAGAAAAACAATTCTTACAGTATTTAATCACAAATCCAATGCTTCTGAGAAAAATAATCCTTAAATAATAGACATGTATATTGTAAGCCTATTTGGGTTGCTTGTAATAATAATAATAATGGCGACTTGGAATATCAACAAAAAACAAGATAATGATGTATAACTTAGCATGAAAAGGGTTACAAATTATAAAGAAAGACTGATACTAAAAAAGAATTGAGATATGTACAATTTTTAAATTAATCTGACCAAATGCTAGAGGTGACAGGTGCAGAAGAGTGATCAAAGAAGGATAAGGGGCTGCCTGCATCCACTGAAGGGTAACAGGTACAGAAGAGACATTAAGGAAATTGAAAGAGCTGCTCATACCCAGTGGAAAGCAACGGTAATAAGAGAGAGTAGAAGCAGCCAGGCAGAGAAGGAGAATTCCCCAAAATTATGAATTAATTTCTCAAGACCAAAAACAATAGACTATTTTTGGAAATCAGGGTTATTCACCAAAACTCAGCCTACATCTTGCCTTGCACCAGTTTCTAGTTGGAGTCCATAAAAATGAATGCGTAAAAGCCATTCAGACAGATAGAGTTGAAATGTAGTTGACAGTTGAGAGCTGATAAGGGGAGGAGCAGAGGTCACTGAGAGATTCCACAACTCCTGCTGAACACAAGATCCTCCAACTTCAGCCTTGAGCCAAACTTACCAAATCAGTAAAACAAATTTCGCTAATTCTGCAAGCCAAAACTTACCAGCTTACCCAAGTGTTGCGTCTGATTTAGGAACAGGTTGGGTTGATAAACACCTGTATTCGAACACAACTACTAATGAACCATTGTACGCAGAATTGATATAAAAATAGTAATTATTTTTCATATATATTTTGAGTTCTGCTTTTTTCCTCCAGTTTTATTGCACAATTTCACTCTACTTGAACCAACCCAACATGAAGATACCTGTGACGAATCAAACTTGGCCTCCTTATAATCAAATCAATCAAAACATGGGGTAAGGCAGGTCAGGATTGAAGAGATCATTCCATTGATCAAATCAGGATCCACCCTGGGCTGACCATGATGAAAGATTACCTCTGTTGATATTTGTTGTGAACCAGCGTTGACCCTGAAGTGTTACAATGCCATTCCAATTGTCTTTAATCAAATGGAGAATTTTCTGATTTTTATACTTTGTGGCACACTGCCAATTATATATTGGTCATATGGGACCAAACAGATTTTGGAAGAATATAATTCTTATTGTCTTTAATCGCATATTAACAGGATCTAGTTACAATATGAGCTTATGGTACATTGAGTTTTTGTCATATGCTACCAAACAATCTGTTTTACTAAAATTCTTGAAAGAACATCCAATTTTTCAAATTTGATTTATTTTTATAATATTCCAATGTTTTGAATTTGTTCAATCCTTACATTATGTTGTCAAGGCTTTTCATTATCTGTCTATATTTCTGAGATGAGGTATTATGTACACTATTTACATTATTCGGACTATTGTCCTCATCTTTGTTGCCATATTTATCATAACATTTTGGCTGTTGTACGCTCTGGCCTTCTTCAGGAGGTTGGAATGGTATGTGGAACTAGAACAGTTTACCCCAGTGAACAAAATAAAGGGTTCAGTTCAACATTCCAACAACCTGAAGAAGGCCAGAGCGTACAACGGCCAAAAAGTTGATAAATATGGCAACAAAGATGAGGACAATAGTTCGAATAATGTAAATAAGGTTTTTCATGATGCCAATATAATAAGATGGCAAATCTTGATATCTGTGATTGCATTCACTCATTTCTATGCTATTGACAAGTTATATGAAATCTGTTTGGAAGTGATCCCTGCCATATTATATGAATAAATAAAGAATAGGCTACCAAGGATAATGGCACCATAGTTCTTTTCAAAGTCCTCTCTTAACCTGACAGATTTATTTTAGCATCTCTCCCCTTTTTGAAAAGGGTCAGCAATGTCTTCTTACAAGAACACTGTCAGCTGTATTGTCATGTTTTTATTAATCTTGTTTGAATTTTAGATTTAGGGGACACTGAAAGATGCATGGTGACAAATCTAGACTGTACAGGTACTGGCTGATGCTCTTCTTTGCAAAAAAAAAAAAAAAAAAACCACGCCCCCCCCCAAACAAAAACAAAAACAAAAAAAAAAAACACCATCCCCACCATAAACCCCCAAAACTCCTTTATTTTTATCTACTTAGTGTGTCATTGTGATGGACACAGTACACAAACTCAGTCAATAACGCCTTAGTATTGACTGAGTAAATACACAGAAGTGTGCATGTTCATGAATGTACAGTAATCTGATAGCTTCAGATTCCATCACGGAAACATAACTAATTCTTACGACCTTCAAAATGGTTGATACATTCTCATTGCTCTACGTCCACTGCTGATGTCCTAATTATCATTACACACAGAATCAGTGAAGCACTTGATAATAAATTAATCACAAGAGTGATGGCTAAATATCTCAAAGGCCTTTGACAAAGTGTGGCATAGGGGGTTGCTAAACAAACTCTCTAGCTATGGCATCATTGGAAGAGTTTTTACAATTTAGAATGAAAGCAATGATGGTACCTACACAGAATCCATCATAAAAATTCAGGATGTGGATTCAGTAAATACTAATCCCTTCAAATTTCTTGATATATGGATCAGTTTTTAGTAATGGAAATAATAAAACAGAAAATAGAATAAGGTGCATGTGTGATAGTTTCGCCCAACACTGCCAATTGTTACAAAACTAAAACATTAAACTGAAAACTGTAGTCATGTTCTTAAAATAGCCTCATCAGATCAAGACTTTCATATGGATGCTATGCATGGTGCCAAATATATTCAGAAATATCTAAATTATCAGTTGCATACAACTGATTTCTAAGATTAATAGTTAATAATGGCTTTGAGCAAATTAAGTTGATTGATCTTGGCAAAGACCATCCTTCTTTGAATCATGTGAACTGGCACTACACAATCACAGAGAAAGAACTCTACCAATTATCAGAAAACATGTCACTTGAGGACTGCCAAAAGCAGCAACAATTAAAATGGATGGCACATGTAACATGAAGGGAAAATAATGACAATCAAAAGGTTGACGTTTTTTTCGAATTGGAAGGGTAGGAGGAGAGACATTGACGTTCCATATGACTTCAAATAAAAGGGTAGGAATTACCCCCCCCCATTAATAACAGAAAGAGCAATAACTATTTTTCTGAAAAATTGTTTTAAGAGAAAGATTTTATAAATTTTAACTGACAAGCTGCTCACTCAATAAATACCGAATGTTTCCTTATAAGGAATTGGCTAATATTACCTTTAGCATAAATAGATGAAGGGAACAGATACTTCACTGATCACAGTCCGATGGCCAGGGAGTGAAGAAAAGCATAACAACTGTTTGGTCAATGAATGCCAAATGTTTCCTTATAAGGAATTGGCTAATATTATCATTACCATAAAAATTGTTCTTAATAATCAGTCTTCTGAAGCTCATGAGATCAATGTAGGCATTCCCTAATGTGTTCTCCTCGGACTTATATTCTTTCTGCTTTATATTAATGAGCTGTAAAAAGGCCTGGGAGACAATATAAAAGGTTACAGAATAAAGGGTGCAGTGGTGATGATAATGGCTTAGCCTAGATTTGTACAGGTTAGGATGATAGTGATCAGGAAAACATTGTCTTAGTAGTCAATACCACAGAGCAGTGGCAAGAAGCTGCTTGAGTGGAACTTACTTCTCACCAATGGAAAACTTATGCCCATATAACAATTTTAACCTTCTACCTTGGGTGGCTCTTGGGATTTTTTAAAAACATTGCTGATATGCAATATATTTAGAAATAGCTATTATATTTTCCAACCTTAATATATTTTGGTTGGTATAGGTTAATTCTTTGAAGCTTAATGATGTATATTCTATACATTCCAGATATATTTGCTTAATACTAAGACATATTAATTTGTACTTAGAACCTTGGTAAATGGAACTGTACATTTTTTGACTTGCTCTTGATATAACTATCAGTTCACAATCAAATTCCTTGTTAAGACGATTTGATAACATAGAAATATTTGGATGTGAAAA